AAGGTGAACAACTGTTTTCTGCATACTGTTGAAGTCATTAAAGATACCGGTTCTGTATAAAATACGAAGTTGGTCGTTTTCCGCTACCGGTATTGTGGCCTTCCACACGACGAGACACATCTGGTGTTGCTTTGGTGTATCAGATTGACCCCTTGCCGGAGGAAGAGGAGGAGGAAGAGAGTCTTGGGGCTGGCGGGGAGAAAGCAAAAGTGTGCTGGTCTCCCCGACCAACTGCCCTCAGAGTTGAGAGAGCCCCTTTATTATTTAATATCAATCTCTAAAGTGATATTTCTCTATCTCGATACTATAGGCTATTCGATACACTCACCCCTCCAGCATTTGAAGTGCTCTTCATACTTGTTTCTTCAAGTGCGGTTGAGTCTGTTGCCGGTCTTGACGTGTCCGTTGCTCGACTCGCTTCTTGCCATTTTGCTCTACGCCTTGGTCTCCACTGCCACAGCTCCTCACCTGCCTTAGACTCGCGTCAGTTAGCAACTTACCTCGGTCGATGCTCGCCACTGCCGCTGTGTCCGCTGCCCTGTTGTGCTCGTGTCCTTGGCTGCGCAACTACTCGCTCCCTCGAGAGCCTGCCATGGCGCGAACCAAGCAGAATGCGTCTCGGTCAACTGGTGGGCAAAAACCGCGCGCGTCCCTCAGCCGCCAAGCTCGACGGAAGACGTCTGCCGCTCCAAGTGCCGCGACATCGCCCCGCTGGCACGTCTGGACAATCTCTGACCGTCTTGGCGCGCAGGTAACCCGAGCCTCTCGCTATTATGTTGAATACATCATTTCTGCAGTGAAAACCGAGGGTTCTTGGGAGCCGCGTTGGCTTCTTGAGGAAGATGGCTTCATTGAGTATCTTGAGCTTGTTGATCAGTACAAAGCCACCGGTGGTCCCATGACCTTCACTGAGTTTGCTCTCTCGCGGCCGGACGACTTTTCACAGGCCATGGGCGCCTCCCGCGATGGCCGTTGCGCCTTCCGCACTCTGGATCTTGCAGCCGACGCCCTTGGGATCTCCGACTGGTACTCGGAAGCTGCTGTCGATGCGTTGTACTGTGTGCGTGCTGCAACTGACAAGCCAATCACCTCTGCTGTAGTTGTGTGGTCCACACTGTGGACCTTCATTCGGAATTCCAACCGCGCTGCTCGTGCTGCTGGTCGCACCGAGATCTGTAAGGATACAATTTGTGTTAATCAGGTCCAGTTTCGCCTCGAAGGCGTTCAAGCATGCATCGGTCTGGATTTCCTGCTGCTGGCGCCTGGCTTATATCTGTGCGCAGGTGTTCTCCCAGGTCCTCAGCGTAAGTTGAACGCGTTCATGCTGCAAGTGACGAAGCACGGTCGCTTCGTTTCCGACGAAAGCCTCGTTCAGATGCCGCTGTTAGAATGCGCCTTTTCGTGGCTGGCGAAAGTGCGGTTTGTCCGACGCGTCCTGATTTGCTAAAATACCGGTTCAGGGAAAAGTAGGCTAACTTGATAATAGCACGGATCCTTTTCAGCTTGACGTTTGTATACTTGAACTTGCACCTGGAACTTGAAGATAATCTTGAAATTTGTATACCTTGAACGTTTCACTGGATCTTGAACATAATCTCGAATTGAAATTGCTAATCTTGAATCTTGAGTTGCTGTCGTGTCCGTCGACATACTATTTCGTCCTCAGAAATTTGACGTCGTCTTTTTCTTGATCTTTTAGGCGTCTTGTTTTCGTACGCTTGGATCAACCCGGTCACTTGGTGTAAGTTCTCGAGCGGTTCCCACGTCGCCTTCTTCTCACCCACCCACTGAATGAGGTACTGTACGTTCCCCTTGCGCTGACGCTTGTTGACAACTGCTTCGATGATCTGTCCCACCTGGTCATCATGCAATATTACCTCGTGAGGTCGCGAGAGACGCGTCGGAGACTCGTACGGCTTGAGTGAGCCGGTGTTGAAGACTGGATGTAGCTTGAGTCCAGGCGGCAAGTTGATCTCGTACGCGTGTCGATGTACCTTGCGCACGACGGAATACGGTCCAATCCACTTGGGTCT